ACGATACCCTATAAGAAATATGTATACGGAAAGGATACATTTTATGTACGTTTCTATAGATTCCGTATACAAATTCCGTATATTTAATAAGCAATTCATTTTTGAACATTTTTTAAAAAAAATTAATGTATACGAAATGTATACGGAATTTTTAAACTTAATATTTTTATTTTATTTTATTTTATGTAAAGTCGGAAGGAACTATCTAAGAGAGCATTAATCCATGAGAATAGGCCCAACATTAGTTCCATCATCCATTCCATAGAACGAACCCTACCTAATTGTTATATATAGACTGGTCCAACAACACGACCGATGAAGGAACAGGTACCATGAAATCGAGGACGAACAAAACTAAAAAAAAGAGTTCTAATCTATCATGCGTATTTTTCTTTTAACTATTACTAGCTATTGTATGTAAATACTGGCATATACAAAATGATGTATTATAAAAAGGTCCGTAAATGTTTTTTGTGTGGGTGTATATAAGTTTTGGGTATCTATTAAAATTTGGGTGTCTATTCAAATTTGAGTGTACTATTATTTAAAAGGGTAAATGTCTGACTCAGGCGTAGGTGGAAACTCATTTTTCCTTCTCCGAGGTCGCGCAATAGGTCTCAGGGGTGAATCAGTAGTAGTTTGACTAGGACCAGGTGAAGGTGTATTACAATTATCAACGGTATCCGTAGAAGGGGTATTCTTTTTAGACCGAGGTCGTGCTATTTGTCTCGGGAGTAAATCGTTAGTAGGTTGATTAGAATTAGGTGAGGGTGTGTCATCATTAGCCAAAGCATTTAAACGAGCTTTTTCTTTTGCACTGGGATAAACCATTAGTGGTAATGTAGGTTTAACAAGTAACGGAGCAAGTGTCTTAAAAGCAGTAGAACTTTGATGAAAAGCTAACATAGCTCGTGCATTTTCATATTGAGTAACCCTCAAAGCGTAATGCGCAAGAGGATCAATTTGAGGTTGTGTGGGTTGACTAATAATTTGAGGAGGAGATGGTTGTCTAATAATAGGAGGACGTAAATTTTTGTGATCCATATAATTATTATAAAGCCTCTTGGCCTTCAAATAGCCATATTGACATTGAGGAATGTTGGACAAATCATATCGCCTTCTAACTTTATAAGCGAATAAATTGATGTTATATGTTTGAAAATAATAATTCCAAGCATCACCACTAAAATCAACAGGTAGTGCAGGTAATTTTTTCTTGAGTTTGTTACGATTATTAACGCGTCGTCGCCAATTCTTGGCACGTTTCCGGGTAAGTTGATCCAATAATTTATCCTCCTCAGATTTCTCATATGAGGGTTCCCGTTCCACAAGATGAGATACTTTTTTAAATACCGTAGAATTTTCTTTTAATAAAAAGGGTTTACTATGATATAAGTATTCTTCATGTTTGATGGTTGACTCTCTTAAACGATTCCATCTTTTGACTTGTTGTGGTGTTCTGTTATCGTAAAACTCAACATTTTTGTATTCTTTATAAAAGGGTCTTGTTGTAGATTTACCTTTTCTATTATTTGTGATAGGTTCCATCACCTCTTTTAAATCGGAATTATTCTTTTCTTTCCATTCATTATAACGTTTAACAATAACGTTATATTTTAGACCTAAACGTGTTGAGTGAACTTCTTTCCATGGATTAAAATTAACAGTTTTGTAATCTTTTCCTTTCCGTTGTGTGGTTTTTGAACTTAACCCCGATACAGGAGTAAAATGTTTATTGCATTGCCATTGATTATTTGGAAGTACAAAGGCCGCTGGTTGGGTGCAAGTATTACTACATCGAAAATAGAATCCAAGATAGATCACGTGAGTTCCAGAACTGAACCGGATATAAGTTTTGGTCTGTCTATTTTTAGCCGAATAAGAAAGTCTATTTTTAATCGCTACTAATTTATCTATTAATAGTTGGCGTAAACGTTTAAAATACTTTTTCACAGTATCAGGTGAAAATTGTCTGTTGATAGAAAATATAAATGCGAGATATGTCCCTATTAAGTAATTAAGATTAACTTTTTTACTAGTTGAGTTGAAGATCCTCTGATGATCATTAAGCATATCAATATCATTGGTGTAGACGTTGAAAGAATTTTTCTTTGTTAAACAAAGATCAGCATTTGGGTGTAACTCCATAAGGAAGTATCTACTTTTTTTGGTGTTATACAAGGTACCACTACCTCGTGTATCGCTAACTATATATGGATTAAGCTTGTGAGTTTGAAACGAATAAGCAAAAATATTACGTATTTTGTATAAAGGTTTCTTGTTGTGACCATCCTTATCAAGAACGGTCACGTGCGATTTAGAAACAGAAGCGTCAGAGGGGTTTATTTTCCCAAAGGAAGGTAAAATATTCAAAGGTGTCATAATGATAAAAATATTTGGTGTACTATAATGAAAAAACTCCTTCCAAAAGCTTCGGGGT